CCCTTAATTATTATACAGACTTTTGATTAAATCCCTCAATTCAAAAAATCACTCATTTGATCCCGATTGTTTAGCATTTTTATCCCAACTTAATCCTTCCATTAAAAACCTACATGCGTGTTTAGTTAACTAACACAAATATAATAATACATCAAAGTTTTATGTCTACATGGAAAGACAGCATGGCAAAAATAATGATATGATAATAAAAATTTTAAAAATTCTCTTTCCCCTTCTTCTCTCCCTTTCTCCTTCCTTTTCCTTTCCTTGTCTTTTTCATCCATCAATTCATCATCATCATCATCAAATAACACCCACAAAATCATAGAAATTTTTTTTAATTTTTTGTTGAAGAACCCAAGCTTTGGATTCTTTGAAACCCAGGACACCTAGGGGAAAGAGAAAAGGAAAAAGAAGGAAAAATGAAAAAAACAAAGAATTTTTTAAGTTTTTTATTATATTATTATTTTTTTTATGTCACTATTTTTTTGCCATGTCATCATCTTACCGTGAATTAACAATACACATAATGAGATTTTTAACAATGACCAAATTTGGATAAAAATGGTAAATAATATGGATCAAATGAAGATTTTTTGAGTTAAGGGACTCAATAGAAGATCTGTACAATAGATGAGGGACCAAAAAGGAGTTTAACCAAAAAAATTCATCTCCCTCAGATTTCTTCATGATAAAAAAAAATTATTTTCTTAAAAAAAACTCTTTAACTTTTACTTCCAAGTTCGAACCCCACTCGCACATGGCGATTGCGAACAAAGTTTCTTCAATGTGTGTTGAAGGAACAGAGCGCTTGAGAGAGCAGTGACTATGAGAGCGCGTGAAAAAGTCGAGACAGTCACAGACATACTGCGGCAGAGACACGAAGGGCTACGGTGACCTTCAGACTGACCTTCTCCTCATCTTCCAAGGAACTCTGACCCTGACATTGTACATATAAAAATATTTTTAATATATAAGATTTTTTTTCTTTTTTTTATTTTATCATGGATCGGTCCGAACCGTTGCCTGAAGAGGGCATAAATCTTACGAGCGTGATTACAACCACTTGACATTAAAAAACATAGTAAATTGGTATTGAAATATACTTTATTTATTTATCTATTTATTAGTTTTGCTCTTCTCTCTCATCTGGGTAGACATGATATTCCCTGGTAATGATGGCTCTTTCTAGTTGGCTTGATGTCTTAAATCTCGAAGATGGAGTGAATTCTTCAATCTAGATTGATTCATCTTTTAGGGTTTGTTTGGACTCTGCGGCTTCTTTCAAGAATAATGCAAGCAACTGAAGCTGTCACCTTTGGAGTTGTTCAGGTATCTCTTCACACTTTTTGCTGTTTATGTTTTGCAAAACTATGGCCTTTTTAGTTTTGGGTTTATTTGTGCCCAGGAAATTATTAAAAGGACTCTGATTTTTGTTCATATATGGTATGGGTTTATTTTTTGGGTTCTGCTGTATTCAGAATAGATTTTTTTTTTTTTTTTTCCCTTTTTCTTGTTCTGGTGGCAGTTAAATTCAGGATTCCTCCGGGTTAGTAGCAGTGTAATGTAACCTAATGTTGCTTAAAGTTTCAATATCTTAGAGTGCCTTTCAATTCGTTTCATTTGTAGCTGGACTAAGGGAATATCCAATTTTTACAGTTAATGGAAGACCTCAAAATTATGGCATGATGTTTAAAATATGAGGTTTTAGGAAGAAGGTTTATGGTTTTTATAGCCATTTTCAATGATCATGTTCCTAGAAATTCTAAGGTTTTCGATTTTGATTGATTTTCTCAGATAAATGTGGTTCACTATAAAGATGTACCTTAAATAAGTAGTGATATCATCTTATCATTCATTCAGAAGAGGAAAGCAAAAGGAAAATTTGCATGGTTATAATATGTTGTGTGATGAGTCCTATGATTTGTCTAGATATTGCACTTTTTGTATTGAAATGTTCCCCACATTCAGGCTGACATGCAAATTGCTGAACCCCTGAATGAGGAATCTTCAAAACCAGAAGCACGAGGGAGGCGCACTGATCTTTCACTTCAAATACCTCCTAGACCACTAGGGCTTACCGGTGGTAGCCGTAGCGGAAAGGGTTTACTCCAGTCTCAAGATTCCTGTAAAGGTGCTTCATCATCAGGAAGCTTCTTGCGTGGGTTAAGCTTCAAAAGGAAGGGTGCTTTACCTGATGGTGACAGAAGCTGCCTCCTCAATTCGGACTCCAAGGCAACCCTAGAAAGTCCTATTTGGTCTAGTTTAGCATCCACATTTTCTTGGAAAAAATGTAGTTCTCTTCCTGTTACACCTGCATCAAATTTCTCGCCCTCAGTCTCCATGCCTGCTTCAGCAAGGATGTCTACCGAGCAGCAAAAGTCAAATGTGAGTTAGTGTCATGCTTTTTATGGTTTATATGTTTTCCTTCTAAAGTTTATTCTACTGTGGTGTCTTGGACGACTTTATTTAAGATATGGTCAATGACAATTCTCAGAACAAAAAGGAAGAGTTGCAGTATTATTGAACAGAATATATCATGAAATTTTGTCAAAAAGAAAATTTTCTCTTTCCAAGTGAATGAGTGCTAATATCCTGTATCTCACTTAATGCTTCATCCTATTAAACTGAGTAAGCGAAAGCTGAATGCATTTGGAACGTGAGACTGCATAACAATGGTCAATATCATCCTTCAGCAAATTTTAAATTCTTCCTGTAGTAAAGAGCAATTTTTATTAATGAAGTCCTTTAGAGGCAATATCTTGTCCTCCTTGATCTTCTTTATGAAAAAAATAGTTCTATGTCAATGCTTAGAAAGATAACTGAAAAAGTGAAAATCACATTGTGATGGCAATAGTTGACTTTTTCCAGAAAGGAGCAGCTCGTGCTGTGGTTTCAAGGTCCCTGTCTGCAACTGGGCAAAATATTGTCATAGTAAGATCTGTATCTTTTGATACCCGTAAAGAGCATATTCCAACAGATAACAGTGATGGTATGTGACATATACTCTGTGCCTAGTTCTAAGTTCTTTCTTCATTCAGGGATTAGATTCAAGTGGTTGAGTTGTTAGATGTTTAACATTAGTTTTTAATCCCAACTAAAGTTGAACTAACATATGATTTATGTATATGCTAATAAATGTATATAATCACCTTCTAGATAATAGTTCAAGCTTTAAGCTTACTTTTTGAAATTATGATTAACCTATAAAGAGTTTTGCGCCACATAATTGAGCCTTTCTGATGATGCAATAGATCAAGGCTACCAAGTTCAAATTTTCCACTTTTGGCTTCATTTGGTAATGCTGCCGTGTTCTTTAGTCATAAAGTTGATTGGTAGATCACCTTATGTACTGCTAAAGGATTGGCAAATGGATAGAGATAACTGATTAGATCTGTTAAAATTATTCGACTTTTGGCTTGGTTTGTTAATTGGTGCGAGAGCACTGATAAGTGCCTAACTATTCTCTTATTCTTGTTCCTCTGCTCCCATCTTTCTGCCCATTGGTGCAGCAGATGAAATAATTTCTGTTCCAACAGAAAGCAATGATGAAGAGATTCCTGAAGAGGAAGCTGTGTGCAGGATCTGTCTTGATGTATGTCAAGAGGAAAATACACTCAAAATGGAGTGCAGCTGTAAAGGTGCGCTGCAACTTGTTCACCAAGAATGTGCTGTTAAATGGTTTAGCACAAAAGGAAACAAGAAATGTGAGGTATGTGGTCAAGAGGTTCAGAACTTACCTGTAACACTGCTTCGGGTGAGTAGTGGTGCTCAAGGGAGCAACAGACATGACCAAAATCAGCAGAACTCACGTGCACAATCCTTGAGGTATGATCACCACAAATCTTGTCTTGTATTCACAATATGCTTTTAAGTTGAACTGTGTTTCTAATGGACTTGATATTCCTTCAAACATACAGTGTGTGGCAGGACTTTGTGGTGCTTGTCTTAGTAAGCACAATCTGCTATTTCTTCTTCCTTGAGCAGCTATTGGTAAGCCCCTGGAATGTCCTAAAATTTGGAATACAAAAGATCCAATCTTTATCATAATCACTGGTAAGGAAACATGAGCATATGCCTTGTTATTTTGTAGATTCGTAATATGAAGACTCAAGCAATCATTATTGCAGCTCCATTTGCACTCACTCTAGGCCTCTTAGCGTCTATCTTTGCCGTTGTTATTGGTATAAGCTGTTTCTCAACAATCAAATGTTCCTGCTTCAGTTTTGATTGTCTTTAACATTGGTTTTGATTTGCCTTGCAGCAATCAGGGAGTATATATGGACATATGCTGCTCTTGAGTTTGCACTGGTGGCGATAATTGTCCACTTATTTTATAATTTGGTGAGCAATGCTACCTACCAATTTCATGATAATATATGTTATTTTGCATCATAAAATAAATTTCAAAAATCATGCTGGAAACTGGCTTCATCAATCTATATTATTTGAGTCCTTTTATTATGTCTCTGCAGCTTAATTTTAAGGCTATTTTTGCAATACTTCTTGCGGCAGTGCTGGGGTTTGGGATTTCCATGACACTAAATTCATTGTATATCAAGTATTTTACCTGGCGAGTTCAGGTTGGGCAGAACTCTGGTACTAACCCGGTATGATAATGCGTCTAGAGTTAGTGCCTACTATTTTGCAGGAGGATCAGTGTACATATTTTGGCCCAAGCACGGATCAATTCAAGAATAATCTACCTTATTACAATGTTTGTTCCTGGCATGGTAGTAGCATATGCAGAGGGTGAGGGAATCAATGTTTTCTTGGCATATTGATCAGTCATTTTCATACTATCAAAAATGCCACGAAAGGAATGGACAAGAAATATACATTATTATTGTATAAAAAGATGTACATTTTAGCATTACGAATTACAAACCGATGAAAATCCGTAATATGTACAGATACATGGCTGGACATTAAGACGACATTGCAATAAAGAACAGAAATGAAAATAGAAGAGAAGAAGAATGTACAAGATTTTATCTAGGGTCCCTTGTATTCGGACGGTTAAAAGGAGACCCTTGGATGTTCCCACCATTAGGGGGTCGCCCCCTATCTCAAACTGCACTAAACATTTTTGTTTTATTTATGCTTTCTTACAGGAAGGAACTTATCATTGTTTTTCAGCCGTGTGGTAGAGCGGGTTCTCTTAACGAGTTCCGTGAAGAGACGATGCCTGTAATCAAAAGATACTTAGTTTTAGGACAGCAAAAACCCACTACCCCTAGCATCAACCAGTGCTCCATGATTAGCTAGTTATATAAATCACGATCATCTTTTCAAGGAAATCAACTGTCCCGCTAAGGACTGAAAAATTACTTGTGAATGTGATATTCTCAATATGATACAGAACTTTATGAGGCCTTGACTTTGACATCAAACCAAATGAAGTACGAAATTCTGATCTTTTAATACCATTCGGTAAAAACATGCATTCTGATCAAGGAAAGCTAAATTGAAAAGAAGAACGGATATTTTGACTACAATCATATCATACTGACCTTTCATACTCCAGCCTTTGAGTAACTATTCCATTCAGTAGCAGCTCTGAACTGTAAACTGCTGTCCCTGCATGCATAGAGAGATATACTATATTTTAAGTATGTATTTCGTGTACCATATAAGAGGGGTAATTAAGTGAATATTTGCAACCTTTTTCAAGAAAGGGCACGCAAATTGTATAATCTTCTTCACAAGATAGAACCAATAAATCATCTGACATATTATCATCCTTCAAAACAGATCTGCCAATTCTCTCTACAGCCTGGACAGCATGTTAACAGGAAGTTAAGGAGAAAGAGAACTTCGCAAGCAAAAATTTAGAATCAACTGAAAATGTTAAAACTTCAAGAGAAGGCACACAGCCAGCAGCTGATTGTAAAACAGGAGAAATTTGAAAGACTTATGCCAATACAAGTACAAGCACAAACAGTAGAGATTTCCACCAGAAATATACATGTTAGGAGACTGTCTGTGGAATAATTATCTCCCTTATCAATATGTATTATCAAAAAAAATCAAATATTTTTCCACCAAAAGCTACTAAAGTGAAGGACAAAAATACCTGGCCACAAACTGTCTTTACCAAACTTGAAATTATTTCTTTACCCGGTTTCGTATTTGGCGTGATGAAAACTCTTCGACCCTGCAAAGGATTTTACCTTACAAATATTTGAAGGGAGAAACAGTGGCCAATGTAACAAATCAAAAATAGAAAAATTTTACCTCTAACAATGGATTTTTCCGTGCACGTGCCAAAGAGACCGGCATACAGAAGCCAAACTCCTTTTCCTTTTTGATGTCCCTCAGTATATAAGTTTCCTCATCAATGTGAATATTAACCTGTCCAACACTCTCAAGCCATAGACGTGTAACAACTGGTTTACCAGAAGCAATTGCTTCTAACATATTCCTTGTGCGCACAAATTTATCTGTCACAAAGTGTGTTGCATCTACAATAGAGGAGACTTCAGAAATCCCTAGGCGGGCCAAGATCTGTATGACAAGAGTTAAAAACATGAGACCATCTTGTATATATATATGTTTGGCCATCTTGTACATTTCAAATGAGTTAAAAACATGATAAAACCCAAATCTGTGTGACAAGATTAACAAATAAGGTTAGTCAGACCATCTTATATGTATCTCAAATGAGTTTAAAACATGGTAAATGACAACCTTTCTCTGCTGTGTAATTATATCATCATCCAAGTGGTGGCTAAACATAATCCGAACATTTGCCAAATCCCTCCTCTTTCTTAAATCTTTAAGTGGAGAAATAGGCTCTGGCTCCAAGGGGCTAAGACTTCTGATTTCTTTCATGAGGGAATATCTTGACAGGTTCTTCTTGCATGATTGTTTAAAATATTCATCACCCATGCAAACAGGCGATGCAGAGTTGATGGGTGTTGCACAGTTAACTGGGGTAGTACATACTGAAGGTTTAGGTTTCCCATTTGGTGATTTATGTACAGTGAAATCTGTTTCCATGCTCTCAGAAGCTAGCAAAATTGCGTCACTCCTGTCAGAATGATTGATTTCCTTGGCTCCCATAATTCTGGATTTCATCTTCCCATTCATATCAGCAGAGCAGTGGTGAACATCATTACTTGTCTCTGACATTTTTCCTGCAGATGCTAGTGTTTTCCTCCTAATGCTCAAATCAACACAAGTACTTCCAACATAGCTTCTAGATGGTTTAAGCCCAGCATTAGATTTACAGTTCTCCTCTAGCCAAACAGCTGGTTTGGACAAAGCATCCAAATTATTAGATTCATTAATATTAACAGACAGTTTCCGATGGGATCTTCTTTGTTTTGGGAAGCTACCAGTTATGTTCTCTTGAACGGAACTAGCCTCCACTATATGGCTTGAAACTTCAGTAGCAGCAGTTGGTGTTTTCTCGGCCCCTTGAAAATTTACATCCATAGACTGCCTAGTTTGATGAGCAATGGGTGTAGGAGTGCAAACTTTCTCCTGAAAATATGACCCCTTGATTGAGCTATCTCCAGCTAGTTTTACAATGCTGTGAAGTGTAGTAGACTCATGTGTTTCACTTCTTTCAGTCAATGTATCTTCGTTTCTTTCATTAATAGTCTTGTGAGTTATACCCAAGCCTTCACTACCATTGGCAGTATGGTGTTTTTCAAAATGTGACTTAGCCCTCTTTGTTTTTGGTATCAGTAGCTCTGTATGACATTTCTTCCTGACATTCTTGGAACATTTCTGCAACAAGATAGATGGCTCTTCACATAATCTAGCACCAAGCTTCTTAGTCCTCTTTGATTGTCTTGTGGCAAGATCAATATCAGAATGACAAACCTTAGTTCCTGCTGTTGATTGCCTGTGCAAAACCCTCTTTCTATGCTTTCCTCCAGGAGAAGCTTTAGGGGAACCCTTAGGGTCGTTTTGGACACCTTGGTAGTCAACATTAGCACCATAGTCAGTTATCCCCTCACCACAGCACAAGGCTTCCATAGCTTCAGCAGCCATTTGAGTATCAGGACCTACATTTTGCTCTTCTGGCATATCTGCCTCAATAGCATTGGCCTTCAACTGTCCTCTTGAGGAATCTATATTGCTCTGTTGATCAAACTCATTGATAAGATTCCTTCTAAATTTCATTTCAGCTTCTTGCCCTGTCTGCTTTTCCTCTTTTGTCTTTGAATCGGAATGAGCCATAATTTTATCAAGACCACATAGTTGCTCTCTTTTATCTCTATATCCATCTAGTTTCCTTCCTTTAGGCCTGTGGGGTTCAGTTAAAGATTTCCTTGCCTGGCTTCTACTACCATAGAATTTTCCCTTCCTCCTACAGAAAATATCTCCCCCTCCGTCATCCTCACAATTATCATCCCATTCAAAGATAGATGTTTCTCCAAATATGATTCTTTCATTGGCTTTCTTGGCCAAATCTTTTGGTCCTTTTGCACTTAAAACAGGATTTGGCTTTTCCCTGGTACTCTTTCCACAATCAACTTCAATATCAAACTCCTTCAGATTATCATTAATAAGCCTCTCCACAAAATTAAGTGCATTGGCTTGGGACAGTTCCCCAGGTTCTTGAGAGTCAACATAACTTAAACCTGCCAAAAGAACATCACTGAGAGGATCCATGTCCTCTCTTGCATCTGAATTTTCATTAGTGGAGGAAAATCTATTGTTATCAGTAAGTGATTCCTCAGCAAAGAGTTTTCTTGCTGCCGAACGACCAACTTTTCTATTGTTTCTCTCACTCAATGCTTTCAAGGTCTCATTTTTCTCCAGATCATGTATCTGAACATTGTCCTTTCCACCTTCTGCATTTGCCCCATTATTGTGGACAGTGAGTTGGTCCAGAAACTGACTATCAGCCAGCACAGAAGAAGAACCCCTCTTAGTAACTTTTAGACCCGAATTGCGTGCTGCCAGAGCAGAAGCCCGCAAAGATGCTACACGGATTGAGGTAAACCTTGGAGCAGGCCCTAATAGGAAGAAGAATATTAATACAGAAACATATTGTGTACATCTCTAATAAATTGACCAAAATTCTTTCTTGAGGGGACATCTGTCAAAAGTCAATGGAATTTGCCAACAACATTTCTTCAAAAGTAGATGTCTATTAGTTTACAAGGTGCAG